TGAATTTTGCAGGATTTTTGAGTAAGTATCTAACAGTCAAAAGATGAAAAGAAGATGAGACGACGAGTTCTGTTTACCTTATATGATTAGTGAATGAGAACGAGGCTAACCCTTGAGCAGCGGCGAGAAGCGCCTGCTGTTGTTGTAGGGCAAGCATCTCGTGCTGTGGATGAACCATTGATGGCCGCCGAAGTGTTGAACCCTAAACGAACAGTTAAAGGAACATCCCAAGTTGACTAGGGTCGGGGTCACTTGGATTTCTGGGCTTCCCTCATGAGCGCACCACCACCTTTGCAATCACATTAATTGGAAAAGAAGACCTGTAAGACTTCGATCGAAATTTCGGACCAAATTTTCCTCCACTGAATGAAGCCTCCAACCTACAGAGCAGTTACCATTAACAAGTAGGGCAGGAGCCCAACTTTCGCACAGCTTCTCGACTCCCCTCTTGTCGAACTACGGCGACTACGATGAAAGGAAGAGGTAGACCTCAGTTCCGAGTAGACGTTGATTTTCAAAATCTTTGCTCACGAAATTGCTTTCACCGCTTGCAACAGCGACGAAAGTATGTAGGCGGTAGTTCGAGACTGCTAACTACGGTGAAGAAGCTGGGTGCGGTCGCCTTCCCTGGTCGAGATCCACAGCCTTTTGGCGCAGCGATTTTCGCATTGCCAAGGAGTAGAAACTAATTGAGTGCTTCTGAATGAAATCAAGCGTGACGTCATCCGTTTTGAAGTTGATGAGGGTTGACTGTGACTGTCACTGCTATGTCAGTAGCCACCGCCATCGCTTTGAAGTCTCACCAATAACAAATAACACAAAAATCTTCTTCCCATGCACTTCTGGTTTCGACTGAGCGGCCACTTTTCTCCTTGAGAAATCCTGTGAGGGTTAAGTGCATGGTTAACGCACGAAGCCCAGCTCTCTTTCCCACCCGCGCAATGTCTAGCAAAAGGCCCTTCCACTGTGTCCGAAGAAAATAAATAACTCAGTCACGGCCATGAGTGTGCTCTTTCAGACTGGTGCAACTGCGGCACCCATCCCCCCAGAATATTTTCCCAATGATCGGGGTCGCGGAAAAGCATGATGGCGGTTACTTAGGTGCAGTCTAGGGGTGTTGTCAACTCGCTGGTAGTTACATTTGGCTGCGGGGGTTGAGAAAAAGCCGCCTTCTGTGCTGGTGGTTGACCAATACGTTGACTTACCTGCGGATTCCTTAGCCCTGTACCTACGGGACAATTTGGCGGGCAAAAGCGACTTCTTTTTGAGGACCACATAGCTGTTAGCTCCCTGAACTATTATATACATTTGGTTTGAAGTGCCCTACTATTGGTGCGACCACCACTTCCGATACAGTAACGAAGAAGGCGGGCAGATGACGAAATACCAGCTGGCCACCGCTGTGGGCTTCACTGGCCTTTGATTGGTTACATTCATCAGGTGGGGGCAGGAGCAGCCGAGTTTCAAGAAACCATCACTATACAGGCACGCCATAGAAACTCATCCAGGTTAGAACTTCCAGGTGCTTGTCGACAATGGGGAGGCACGCAAGGAGTTGGCCTGCCGAAGCCTCTCGTAACAGTTTGTCCTTACTTCCTCTACAGTGAATAAAATCGTCATTGTTTCCTCTGCAGTGAATAAAATGTTCATTGTTCAGTGTACATTTTGTAGCGCATGCTGACCATCACCACCTGAGGCACATAACAACGCATCTTTTCTCTGGCCTCTAAATCTTCTAGCGCTGAAGGCTGCATTCCCCCGTACATGAGGTAGAAGTGGCTCGCTGATAGTACTGGGTGCGAAGTTCGATCCTGACAGGTCCTTGTGAGGGTCCACTCTGAAAGAAGGCTAACCTGTTGGCTATTCCGCCGAGCTGCCGATTGTTGAGGGCTAGTAGGAGAACGAGGCGAAGAACGACCTTGCATTGGACGACCACGTCCGCGAACTGAAAATGAATGAGGGCTCACTAAAATGGAAAAAAAAACAACAAAGTTCGCATGCTGAAACTCAACAGCAGGGAATTACTCTAAGGAGCGACGATCTCACCGCTGCTGTCTAACTCCGTTTTATGAAAGCGCTGATTAACGTAGTCTAATTACCTTTAGAGTGGCTGAATACGCGACTAAAGCCTGCTAGAACATCGGCTGGTGATCTTCTAATTGCTCTCACTATTTCAGCACATGAAATGCCTTCCAATGCATGGTCAATTAGAGGATAGCGGGTGTGGTATACCAAAAGGTCTCGTGTTTTGGATTAAGGCGTGCCTTTCGTCGTTGAGCAGATGACAAATATCGCGATTTTTGCTGTCTCCCTAGTTTCACTACATTTTTCTTCTGTCACTTTCTTATATCACCTTTTCCAGCTGGAATTCAGTTTAGAAGGTGAAGTTCAGAGTTTTTCCAGTCGGAAAGTGTCGATTGATTTTGTCACCCCACAGAAATGAAGAAACTAGTAGGGAATCCAAGAACACTGCTGTAGGCAAACCTTCCCTGTATTTTCAGTTGAAATGTAACTTCCGAATGAGAAGTTAATTCTGCATGTTCCCATTGCTTCTTTGAGTTCACTCTTATCTTCCGCTGGATATAAGCTATAGATCAAGACAAATCTACTTGAGTTTATTCCACCGCTAAGGCGATCAGAAGTGACGCAAATTGCAGAAATAGACCAGACCCAAATAAATCTATTTCTGTATCGCTGAGACGCGGTTACGCGTCACAGTCATACGGATAACCAGAAATAATCTAATCACCGCAATGTAAGAAAGGTTCGCCAAAAATACCGCATGCCAAGTCGCTGACTCATCACTTCCTCTACCATCAACACCTATTCCTACACACGTTTTTGAGCAGCAACAGCCTTCCAAACCACCGTTTTATTTTTCAAATTTCAACCCTTGATGTTTTCATGGTCTTACTCGAAAAGGTCAAGATGGGGCAGGAATGCAGTGTTCCACATGCGAGATGGGCTAAGCACGTTAAGCCGACGGTGGAAATATGTATATTGCCTGAAAGTTCAAGGAGCAATCATATTTGGTCACTGAAAAGGAAGACCGTATCATGTGCATCGAGTCCAGCGCTGATTCCACTGCACGAATTTTTTTTATTTCAGTTATGTTTTTCTTGAGTTGCACGCCTGCCTTGCTCGATGGATATCTCCTCAAACGACGCGCCATGCAAAAGGGAAATCAGACGCATTTAAAAAACAGTTTTCGTTGCACCAAATACGACCGCCCCCCTAGCTGGAGATTCGCCGTCGGGTTCTGTCGAGGACACGCATCGGTCACAATACTCTCAACTGCTTCGGCCTATGCTAATGGTCCTTCCTCCTGTGGCCCTTCAGGCTGTTTGATGGATATGCAAAACGATGCACAATTGAATTTATGTGGAGATACCAAGAATTTGGAGTAGAAGAAGAAAGCAAGTAAACCAAATGGGATGTATCGATATTCGCAATTCCAGCGGCCAACTATTTGGGAGGCAAACGACGATGGAGATGGCACTTAACACATCATTCGTGCTAGCTCGTACGGTCGGCTTTGTTTTCTAGGAAGGCGTAGCGAGATGCAACGCATAAAATCAGCGTGGCATGGAGCATCAATAGACGAGTAAGTACTCCTAAGAAGCACGATGACGCCTTGCAGACCAAATGACGATTCTTCCATATCTGCTTAATGTCTGCACTACTATACGGAACAAAACATGGGCATTAACGAAGGCCTTGATTAAGGTCGCGGGGAAAAGGTCGGGGGAAAAGTCAGCGAAGAATGGAGGGTCAGGTGCTTGGCCTTCGACCTGGTGGCCTAGTACACAACACAGCTACACTCCTTATCCCTGAGCCGGAGTAGGCGTGGCATTTGAACATGGCACGGAATTGGTTACTCGTGGAATATTCCAGTGTGGGACAACAGTCATCTTGTTCTTTGTTGGATAGAGGCACGACAACAATTTGTGTCAAGATGCCATATTACCACCCAGAAGCACAGACACTATTCAGGTTAAATTGAAACTGCGCCGACGGCCTACTCCGACTCTTAGGGATATGAGTATAGATTGAGCAGCAATGGGCATACTGTGAAACGCTTGCAAGTCAGTGAACGCAAATGGGAATGGGCTATAAGCTGATAATACTGGAGTTAAAACGAAGGAAGTTTCGACTGTTGATAGGCAAGCCTCCGAGAAACAGAAACAGCTAATAGGATCAGCGGAAGTGCTTTACGGGAAGGCGATCCCAAGGATGTTGGCTGGAAGACTGGAGGACACATGGACGCGCACACATCAGAATGGTTTCCGTTAAGCAGTCCCGTTTTCTCTATTTTATGTCAGACGAGTAGCAGAAATAATGCCTAACTAATATAATAATGCGTATGTTGTCTCTTGGTGCGTGGGAATGTTTGTCTGTCCGTGTCATGTGTGCTTTGACGCCAAGAATTGCATAACTTCTTCAAAAGAAGCGATAAACCTGCGTCAAAATGATAGTAATGTAAGAGGACCCGAGAGGAACACTGTTGTAGGCGGAAAATGATAAGAAGCTGATAACATAACGTAAGCGCGAGCCTTAGAAGAGAAGGGCTACTAAATTCATAGCGCCGGCCAGATGGTACGTTGGTTCCAAGAAGTAAGATAGGGGGCAGGATGGGAAAATTTGAGAATGCAAAAATCCATATGGTGCGCCACAGCGAAGGTAGGTTTGGTTCCAAGAAGTTGATATAGAAGGCAGGTTGGGAACATTATAAGAACATCGGAGTGGATGTGTGTTGAAATAATAGATCTACAGCTGACTGGACAAGACCGCCAAGGATAAAGCAGGTCGTACTTGGGGTAACATTGGAGGGTCATGTGCTGAACAGCGCTCTTTCGCTTCTCCATGGCGTGCTACTATTACTACTACCAGTTGCTGTTCCTCAAGAAGGGATAGCGCTGAAGACCCATGCCCGCTGGAAACCCTGAGATCACATACTAGCCAATAAAATTAAGCCTGTTCGTCGCTTGCACTATGCGACCAAAACCAACTTGAAGCGAGGTTCTTTTGTCAACAAACATACTCTGCTGCGGTTTCTCAAACTAAAAATAACTCATTACTAAACGAAGAAACAACCGAAACCGCTCTAAGACGTACCATTCGGGAAGCACATTTTCATGAACTCGTCCACTTGTGCCGCGTATTTGTCCATGTAACTGATTGGATCTCCCTGAAATTATGAATAGTTGATTCCTATTGACAAAAGCTGTGTCCCACGATAACCGCCAGCAAGTGGGGAAAAATAGTAAAAATAAAAAATTTCGAGAGCTTCGTGCTGTCTTATTTACAAATTTATTCTGTTCTTCTGAAGCGAAGGTGGCTCGTTTACCACCCACGCGGTCCTGGGTTCGAATCCCGGGTCGACTCCCGCCCAGGCCAACCAAGCCTTCTACCCTCCGGGGACGGTAAATTGGTACCAGATTCGTCTGGGAGGATAAAACACTGACTTGTACATCGGCTGGCCCCCGCAAGTCATTGTATAGGCCACATCGCATTCAATAAGCCACTACGATTCTGAATGGAAGTAGAATGCGTGCCGCATCCCACAAAGGAAGATGAACGGCAAAGACTATCTTTTCTTTTCCTTCTGTGCTTTCAGCTTGTTTCTTTATAAAAGTATTCACTTCTAGAAAAAAAACTTACTGCAAGTCCATGAAGTGAGACCATATGGCTTTTGACGTTGTTCTTTGAGTAAGTCGATGTGAAGTCACACGCAGGACATTGAAACATCGGCTTAGCAACATGGCATTGTCGGATATGGCATGGAAGTTTTGACGAGTGTACGTCCTTTTGACAGATCACACAAAATTGAAATGTACACGGGTACGACTGAAATTTTTCGTTTGAGCAGGACAATGCTTGTGGCGAAGCTCATTTCATTTCAACCCGTATAAACTCTATGTGAGAAGCTTTCGTTTTGCCATCGTTTAGCACCTAAAACAGTCACTTCAGCAACGTTCACCTAGACACCAGGATCACAATGGCTTTACAAGAAAAAAAGTCTGACGCCTGGGATAACCTACCGCGAAAAAAGGCCCGGCTCGAAAACAACCTAGCACGCTGACAACAATATGAGCCTCCGGTGGTTCACATGCACGTGTTTCTGTGAGAAAATATGAGCCGCCGGTGGCTCATGATTTTTCTGCGCTACTTTTTGGATTGTTGATTGTTTTATTTTTCTGG